AGAGGAATAGGGGATATTCCTCCAGGAGAGCCATCAATCGCTTCCAGCAGGACTCTGCAATCCGTCCTGGTCGATCCTATCGGCGGCCAATCCCGCGTCTGGTCCCTCAGGATCGATCTCGCCCGAGGGAGAGCGCGGATTCGCTCCAGAAGTGTCCTGGGATGTGGCCGATGATCCTCCTTGATTTATCCCTCTCAATCCCCGTTTCTTCATGCACTCGGGGGTTAATTCCCCCCGGGCCGAGAAACGAAAGAAACGAGGTTACCAGGGATCAGCTTCTGGGGGGAAAAGCACCTCGATGCTGGTCCAGATTTTTTATTAATTTTTTACACGACAGAATCCTCCTCCTTGACAAAAGAAATTGCAACTCCCCGCTCCCGGAGGATCTGGTCGCATTGGACGGTCGTTTGTTCTTCGATTAATGATTTCCCCCCCGACGATAAGTCAAGTTCCCTAGGGGGCCGAATCTTCTCTCTCTGGGGAGTTTATCCCTGGAATAAAGTTCTTCCTGGTAGGATTCCTCGTTTGTCCTCCGGGCGATATGACGGACCTATTTGTCGCTCCGCGGATCTCCTGGGCGAATTTTTTCTTCCCGGTCCCAGGGAACTTGGGGGACTTGGGGAACGAGTGGTAGTGCTCCTGACGTACGGGGGGAATTAGTGTCAGGGGCCTTTGGGTTCTCCATCCGGAGGAGGGAAAATTGCTTCGCGGGGGACCGAGGTTCTTTAAATCCTCTCGCGAAGGAGTAAACTTCGATGCTCCCGGAGGATTCCCTCGGGGATTGTTTCTCCTTTTTTTTCCCACTTCGAAAATAAGGGGATCCGGGAAAATTTGCAACGGATTTGCAGCCTGGGTGAAGAAACCGTCCTCCGGGGTTGAGGTCCCTTCGAGAGGACTCCTTGACGCCGTTTTCCTTGGGTAAATCGTTTATCCCATCGGGGACACTTTCCGTTGGACCGGTGCCCGGTGGTCCATTTACAGGAATTTAATGGCTTGCGTGATGTATTCCCGAAAATCCTGGGGATAAACCTAACTGTCTCGCGCAAACGTCTCGGCGTTCCCTTATGCGATCCACTCGGCCACCAACATGGCGGCCGCGTCGAGTCATGTAATGTCGTGTGTACGCAGACTAATGTGTTTGCCAAGCAAACAGCCGGGCGAAGCAGCACGGAAATATCCGCTAATACGTCCCGATCTGTAAGATCCGTTCTGCCCCTGGCCGTGGAACGCGAATATTCCAGTTTACAGCGCGGATATGTTCTCCATGCCGAAGGACGCCGCGCCGCCATCTTGTTCTCGACACGCGGCCTCCGCGAGAACGAATTCGACGCAACAGGACCGTCTTTGACATAAAAAGGCAACGGAAACGGACGAATCGTCACCAAATGAAATCTCGGCAGTCGTTTTACGGGGTAACGACGTCGTTAACGGCACGCGTCGTCGACGTTACCGCCGGAACGACGGTAATCGTCTTTCGCGTCGGTTTCCGACGAAAGATGGCGACGCGTCGGGTGGACCGCGCCACCCTAAGAGTTTGACAAACTCTTACTTATTTCTATTTTATCTACCTTTGAATAGTTCTTTTATAGTGGCATTTTGTGCTGATTTAGGTACCTATCTGTATCGGGCATCGTTGTCTGCCGATTAATTGGACGAGTTGAGGAAAGCGGTGCGCCAAAATCGAGAAGTTCCTAGCTAACCACATTTCAAGATGGCGTCTGGGTTCATCCGCGACGAAGTGAGACTCTCAAGGGCCAACTTGAAATCCAGTTGACCGGAGGTTGTTGGCGTCGCCATCCATAGTCGATAATCGACGCTGCGACCCCCAGAGCGGCTATCAGAGGCCAGATTGCCGATCCGGCGATAACGGCGAACCGTTTCGCGCCAATCGCCGGTGATACTGCCAGGACCGGGGACGAACATAACCGTCTTTTGTGTCCACTTCCGATGAAAGACGCCATCGGCGCATCTGGATGGCTCGTCTGGATTCGAGATTGGCTCTTATCCGGCAATGAAGTCCTTTGTGGCCGCGAGTCGGCCCTGATGAGCCTCGGCGATGCGTGACACTCGCACTACTTCCTCTCTCATAATTAATACCTCTTAACCCGACGCGAGATTACTCAAATTAAAAATACTCCAAAATAGTAGAGACAGTAATTGTCCCGGAAAAAAATGTGTACCATGAAGAGATCATCAAGCTGGCGATATAATTAATTAATTACGTAATTATATTCAAGTCCTTCGTTTGAAATTAGCGCTCCTTGACTGTGAGTCGTCTCGTTGGATATAAAAATACCAGAGGCATCTAATGATGTCGCTTGTGCGGAGAAAAAAATTGTTTCGGGGTGCGAGAGGTTTTGAAGCCGGTAATAAAATTAATCACCCTCCGGTGAGGTTGGAATCGTCGGGGAATCTGCGGATAAGCGGACACCCCTTGGAAATCTCGTTTCCTTCTGTTCCGCTCGTCCCCGGGGGCAATATCTCCCTACCCCTTTGATCGCGCGGTCTAAGGGGTCGGGGGGAAACTACCCCTCAGTAAACCCCATGGCAATATCTCGCCGCGTTGACGCGCCACATCTTGGAAGTTGCGGAAGAGCTTCCAACTGGGACCGGAAGTGGGCCTGGAGTACAAATCTCAGCTCGTAGGATTCCTCTCTTCCGGCTCTTCAAGATCAAGACGAAGCAATCGAAGGAATTTCCGCATTTACGGGACCTGGGGCAGAAAGTTACGAGGGCTGGCCTATACCAAGTCCCTAATTTGCATTTTAATCCCTCCCCGTCTTATCCCCAGCAGGGTGTAAGAACGTTTTCGAGAGATTTGCGAGACTCCTCTGTTCTCAGCAATCGAAGCCGAATCCTCGATTGCCTAATGAAAGGAAGGGGAACTCTATAAATTCGCGGGTTCCCGGGAAACGACCTCTTGAACTTGCGAACTTGCGACCTGCAAGAATGGCTCGAGGAAAGTTGGAAAAATTCCGGTGATGGAAATTTCCCGGTAATTTAATTCCTGAAGCAGCGGCCTTAGAAGGCCCTTTGGGGGGTGATAGATCCCCGGGATGTGCATGGTGATTCCCTCGGGATTTATTATAGGTCCCTCTTCGTGGCCGACCACGTCGAGGCACCTCCAGGAAATTTGCAAAAATTCCGGCGAGTTGCTATTCTTTCCACGGTACATTAACCGTGGGCAAGTGGGGAGGAAGAGTGGAGAGATTTTTTGAGAGGTTATCCATCATCCCTCCCCGTCATGGGGAAAAAGTGCGAAGCCTCCCTCGGAGGTCCAGCCACCCCCCGTGGAGGAATCGCGAGTCTTTGGTGTAATTTCCTCGGATACGGGGTCGGGACTCGAAATTTGGAGCGTGATAAATCGTGGCTGATTGTACGGACTCGTGGGTTCCCTTTTGAGCGGTTACTGCCGTCCCGGAAACGCCTGAAAGAGCCCTAAATATTTATGAATAGAGAGTGAACCGTCGACATGCCGTTCTCGATCTGAAAGCTCGGAACGATTCGGGGGGGTAAATCGCCTCCTGGGGGTGGGCTCAGATTTTCCGGAAGGGTTGCGACCCCTACTGCGAGGTGTCTATATATATATATAAGCCATAAGCGATATGATCTCGCCAATTTCGAATCCAAACTCCGAATAGATATAGTTCTCTTTTCCTCATCGCAAAGATGAACGGCGATGAATATTTCTTCCCCCATCGTCCCATCACTGGAGATGAGATTTCCATTTATCGGTTAGCTCCTCTCGCTTTTCGGATATTTTCGGACGTTTTTCACTATTTTCCAGTCATTTGCGTACGCTGAATCGAGGGAAAATTCGGCGCAGAGTTGGGACTTTAGGTTTTCGACGCTGGGAATTCTTTTCCCAGCTCGTGAAAAGGTTTTCATTTAGCTCCCCTTGATTTAGGGACGTTTGGCCGATTTTTTTTTTTCTCCTCACTTTTCCTCGAGCACATTATGTAAATTGAGTCAAGGGAAAACCCGGTCCGGTTTTTCGGTGGGCCGTTCGAGGGAAGGTGCGCCGGTTTTTGTCCCCTTGAGGGAAAACGAGATTTCCCGAGTGGTCGGGACCTAAATGGAGTTTTCCCGCGGGCACTGTCCGATCGGTTCGAAAAGACTCGAATTGCGGGAATAAAAGTCAATCGCGCGAGCGTCCCGGAATTCGACGCATCGATCGCCGAAGGGATTTTAATTCGGACACGATTGAGCCGAGTTCGTTCGGCGGAACCGAGACCCAAAAATTCGGGAGAAAAAGTGGCGAAAAAAAATCGGCATTTTCGAAAAGCCCCAATTTGAGCTTTCCATTTTCCTCTCTCGGGGGGAAAAAAAACCGGATCCAATCGTTATCGCCGGACGATTTTCCTTGACAATTCTATCCGGCAAAGCGCAGGTCCTAGGTCACGGTCATAGGGCAGGAACAGGTGGAGGCGTTCGCATAATCGGAGGAGCCATTAGCCATTAATCCTCGTAGGGTGGAAATTAATGGGAGGGCCGTTTCTCCGAGGTGGCATTTGTTACCCCAAGTGGCTAACAAGTCGCGGAAATCATCGGATTCGAGATGACTTTATAAGTCCCTCCGATAGGCGAACCGATCAACGAATCCCAGATCCGATCCCTCGTCCGCGAATGCCCACCCTTGGGGCCTGGAAAAATGAGAAGTGGTATTAAAAAAGAAGAAAACCACCCCATCAGTTTCTCACCGGGTGAGATATTACGGTGGTCGAGGCTGGACTCAATTCCGGGAGGCTCTACCTCCCTTTCGAGGAACCTCCCTTCTACGCGGTAATTCCCGAACAATTCATCCCAGATCTCCCGAGGAGCCGGGAAACGCGTTTAAGCATTAATTAATATTATTGAAAAGAAAAAACGACGGAGAAAATAATTCAAAGCCGATCAACGAGTCGAGGCCCCTCTTCGTCGTCGCGTCTTCGGGCGTTCTAGGACGTCATTTCCGGCGTCCTGTAATTAATTGCCCCGTCTTCTTTTAACTTTGATTACAGTGAAGGCGCACAAAGACTGCGAGGCCAATGGCACCTGGTTCCGACATCCAGAGTCCCACCAAGTGTGGAGCAATTACACGACCTGCGTCAATATGGACGACCTCAGTGTGGGTACCATTCACCTTTGATCCCGGTCAATAAGATGAGCCGAACTTGACTAATTTGGCGGTTCGCTTTCCTGATTAAAACCCTCTAAGGGACACTCCTTAAAGGACTCGAATTCACCCTCGAAAGCGAGGGAACCTTCGCTTCCACGAGGTCCAAGAATGGCGACCAATAGCAGGCTGGGTGAATATTTTATCACAAAATGCCGAGGTCGGAATAAGAACGCGGATTTCAAACCGCACTCCGGATTGGCTGGTCTTATTTAGCTCGATCGTAAATAAAAGCCGAGGGTTAATTATCAGGAGCCTTACGTGTTCCTTTCAATGCGCCGCATTTATTAATTCCACTGCCATTGTCAGTTCACTCTTGACGTGAAATCGCAAATGTTTAACGATATTTGGAGCCGATGTTGAAACGCCAAGGATTTAAGGCTCGGCATTCACTTCCGGGATACCCGGGACGTCCCGTTCAGCTACTTCAGCTTCCTGATCCTTGGACATCCATCATCCTGTAGGACAGGCTCTCCTGCTGCTATTTCACGAGGTGCTCCTGATATTCCGTCTGTCAGGTTTAATCAGCGTCGAGCTCTGTCGGGATTTCGTTGTCTCGGCGGATTTTCTCCCGGCAAAATCTACGGCTGTCCCCGTGGAGGGCCGAATTCGGGATAAAAAGCCTACGAAAGGACGAAGTCGATCCTTGAGACGGGAAGACGGAAAAAAATCCTCCCCTAGCGAAGTCACTCCCAAGCCAATTTAAAACGCATTCTAAGTGCATTGTATAGTTATTTAAAAATGACAGAAGGGAAAAAAGCTGATCTAATGAAAGTTTATCCATTGCAGTGGCAGCAGAAGCTAAACGTTATCTACGAGATCGGCTACACGATATCCTTGATAGCGCTTCTTCTCTCCCTCGGCATCCTCACTTACTTCCGGTGAGTCCGATCTTCTCCAGATCCCTTTCTAATAAGTTGTCCTTGGTCTCTAAAATTCGGATGTCTTTTCCCCAGGTCCCTGAGATGCGCCAGGATCACGCTGCACATGAACCTCTTCGCATCCTTTGCCGTTAATAATGCACTTTGGTTGATCTGGTACGGGTCCATCGTCGCCAACGCGGAGCTCCTTCTGACCAACGGGGTACGTATCGATATACTCGCCACGGGAGAAGGAATTCGAGCAAGAGCTATTCCACCTTTCCTGTGGAGAATTTAACGCTCTACGAGATCGTCTATTTGCGGTCTCCGCGTATCTGGCTCCGTTTTCGAGATACGGCCCTCCAGAGGTGCGATGTACTTGCAGGTCGCCTGCAGGTTGCTCCACGTGATCCTCCACTACTTCTTGCTGACGAATTACGCCTGGATGCTGTGCGAGGGCTTCTATCTCCACACATTGTTGGTCAGTGCTTTCGCCAGCGAGCATAAATTGGTGAAACTGTTGATGGCCCTCGGATGGCCAACTCCCGCGATTTTCGTCACGATTTACGCCATCTTGAGGCTGACCAGCGACGACCCGGCCGACACTCTCCAGTAAGTCGACGCCTCCATTTATCGCCATTACATTTACATTCCAATTTGTATGTTTACTTATTTTCGCCAGAGTTCCACTCGTTATCGGAATTATTCATGCGCTATCGCGAGGTAAAAAACGAGTCCGCTGTGCAAATGAAGAAGATGCCCGAGACGTTGAGGAATGGTTCATGGGGGGATCGATAAGGTTTTTATCGTCTGGGGGTTTTTCTTATCGATCGTTCGGAAAGATTCGCACAGTGTTAGAAGGACTCCTTTCGTCGAGCCGAAGTGTCTTCTCGAGGAAATTCTCGTTCTCGTTCCAACTTCGGACCAAGTTTTCAGGGATTTTTAGACGCCATCTTCCTCTCGCCAAGTTTCCCCATAAATGTCCTACGAGGTTGCCATTCCATAAGTAATAGATGGGACCCACCCTCCCGCCCACGCATTGGATCCACTCCTTGCTCCGTCGAGTTTCGGAATTTTCCTAAGAACACGGACGCATTATTAAAATAAAGTCAGATTGGATTTTCCAGTTTCTTTGAATCAGGTGGAGAGGAGTCCTTTCCGTCTCGTCCGGCATCCCTTAAAACAGGAACACCCTCTTCTGTCCACTTGTTCATCGTGTCCCTAGGTCTCGGTCGTTCCCTAGGGTGGACAAAAAGTGTTTTGTTCCATCGTCTCGCCAAAGAGCGCGTTTATTACTTCCGCCCCAATTACTCAGGAACTTGTTCCAGAAGGGTTAGTCCAGCCGAAGCAGCGCGCGGGTCAATTCCAGGGGCTGTTTAGGAGTAATTGAGTGGCCTCGAGGGAAGGGCTGGAAAAAGTAGGGTGGAGTCGTTATGAGAAATCGCGTGTCCCAGAATTCCACTGCACTTCCTGGAGGACATCCGAAACGGGCCCGGGGAAACAAAGGGGGAAATATGTTCCCGCGCTAAAAGGCACCCTCTTGATGGTCCCCCAAGTCCAGGAGGGATGAAGTTCCCTTTTATACGCGCCATAAAATCTTACCTTTAAAAAGTGTGCCGCAGACCCAGGGGGCCAAGGAAAGGGGTAAACGTCTCCAAGGGTTAGGGTTAACGAAACGAGGGGTAGTTTCGGGGGAGATTTAAAGGGCGAGGCAAATCGATCCGAAAAGGGAAACAGGGTGCAAATTGTCTCCTCGCGTAACCGTATTAGCGGCGTATCGATTCGGGGTATCGATTAGGGTTAATTGACCGGCCCCCGGGGGGGTTAAACCCCGAGGGGATGAAAAAGTAGGGTGGGATCTCGTTGAAGTATTGCGGGCTTTACGTTACGAGGGCGAAAGGGTGTATCCCCGAGCCGATATTCGGGGTGAGGAGTGCAGGAAAATATGGTTTTATACGGGGGAGCCGCATTTGTTAACTTCATTTCTCCCATAAAATATGGGGGAGGGGGCTGGGGGTGGGAAAAAAAATCGACGACCCTCCATCACGTCGGTCCCTGATACCGGAATCATTTATAAAATCTCTCGGAGATAAGTCTCGGACTCTCTTTCCGCGGCGGTTTAACCCGACCTTAGATTAGGTCCTGCTCGATCAGAACGGCAGATAATTAAAAAGAGAACGAGGGAAGAGAGGAGCCTCGGAAAGAGGGTCAATCCATCCTAAGATTTCCCTGAAAGCACACGTCAATTCGAGATACTGTTTAGGGGAAATTGAGTGGCGTCAAGGGGAGGAAGATCGAGGGCTGAAAAAGCTGAGGCGAAAACCCGACGAGAAGCTACATTTTCTCGTTCCAGCCCGTGGGTGAGAGGCGGCGCTTACTTTACAAAGTAATTCGATTATCCTCCCTCTATTTGGGAGGGGCAAAAATAGAAATTACGTCGCTACGTTGGTAGGTACCTCTAACTCTAGGAAATTGCGGACGCGACTTCCACTTATGGCGACTCTCCGGTTTGTGGAGGTCCATAGGTCCGAGCAGCGCAGAGGCAAAGCCGGGCTGAATGTTGGGCTTTCAAGCAAGGATCAAAACCGAGGCACAAACAATTAGATTATCGTACTCCCGTCGGGAGGCCATCGGCATATTACGAAGAGGATCGCTCGTTCACTTTGCGGAAGGCTTAACAGGGGAGCTCGATCAACTCGCGAGGTACGTTAGCGAGAACGCTCAGAGGCGTTCGAATTCCCCCCTCAAAGGAAGAGAAAATCCCGAAAGGACTCGGATTACCTCTACGCCAAACACGGAACTTCATATCGGAGTAACATGCGATAACGGATTCAGTAGCGTGCCAGCGATGCACTTTGCTGGACTGCATCGGCTTGATAAACTCGAGAGATGGAGCGCACTCGGGAGCGGCGTCAATTTCAGGGTCAATTCGGCCTAATTGTCCCCTCTTGACGAGGACTCTTGTGTAGCCGGAAGGTCCTCGGTGCCCAAGGATGCTTCAGACAGCCAGGGAAAATCGGGAATCTGGGAAAAGATGGCTCCTCGACCTCGAAGCCCGGTATCGTGGAGCTTTTTTAAAGATATCTCCTCGTTTCCAGGTGCTGGATCAACGAAGGCAATTACATGAACGTGCTGGTATATCCAGTGTGCGTATCCACGTTGCTGAATCTGCTGTTCCTCTGCAATATCGTGCGAGTTTTGCTGACCAAGCTCAGGGCAGGCCCCGCAATCGGCAGCAGACCTTCCCGCTCGATGCTGCAGGCCTTCCGGTAAAAAGAAATTATTTCCTCCGCTTCCAGCTGGCGGAAGTGGAGTACTACCTCGTGCAGTTTTTCCCTATGACGTGGGTCTTCAAATTGTATTTTCATTTCAGGGCCACCTTGCTGTTGGTGCCGCTTTTGGGACTGCACTACTTGGTGATCCCGTTCAGACCGCCCAAGGGGCACTCCTGGGAGGAAGCCTACGAAATCGTTTCCGCCCTCACGGCCTCCTTTCAAGTGAGCACGCGATCCCCGAAGTGTTCCGATTAATCTGACTTTCTCGTTAAAAGGAGAATTAACGGTGACTAATCCTTTTATCGGGGGGAAATTCGTCCCGCCACCATGGACGGGGGGTGATTTCCCCTTTAATCGCGCCGCTAAAAGGGGGATGAGATTCTCCTCTAATTTTCGCATTAGCGATTATCGAGCGCGAGGAGATAACCGGCGGGGAACCCCGACTGGATCCGGCTTTATATCTCGCGTTTCATCCTTCCTCCTCACTTTTCGTCCCTTTTTTTCGGTTTAGTGCGGGAATTTAACCCCGAAATGCCGTCCGGCAATTTCACCGGCACCGGAGCGCACTTTTTATCGCCGGGGTGTCTTCTCGAACGTAATTGCCGTTCTCGTAAGACAAAGTGCCCGTACAGAGGCACTAATGAGTTCTCACCGCGGGCAAAATTAGTTAGGACCTCCACTGGCCCCGACTTGCATAAGGTCGATACCCCATTCTAGGGATACCGCGAAGAAAACCGCAGAAAATTGATCACCCCCCGCTCTCCACGATTTCCTCCTCCTATCTTGAAGGGAGATTATCGGAAGCCTTGGAGAGACTTCGAAAAAACGAATTTTTTCTTCGACAACCGGTGACAATTGTACCTTTGTTGCAGGGCCTATGCGTCGCTATCTTGTTTTGCTTCTGCAACGGGGAGGTGAGTACGTCTTAGGATTAACAATGAATGAATAACTTTGTCGTCGTGACCTGATAGTCCAACGTTTACACCCTTTCCAGGTGATAGCACAGTTCAAGCGGAAGTGGGAGGGCACCGCGTTCAACCGGAAGCGAGCCAATTCCTGCACGGCCACCACTGTTTCTGTAAGGACCAAATTGCGATCGGTGTTCGATTCCGTCGGAAATTCCGATGCAAAACCACTAGTTGCGGCGCCCTGTGAATGAATCGGTAGACTCTCCAGCAGCGTACGAAGCCCCCGGAGCTTATCGGGACTAGATTCGCCATGTTGATAGCCAGTGGCACGATGCGGACTCTGGATAAGGCCAATGTATTCAGACAGTAAAACCCATTCCCTCTATCTTCCAGATAGCGAGAACTGGCAGTCGGTCCGATAGCAGCTCCTTTCTAGGCCCATTTCTGTTTAACCCTAGGAGGCTTATCACTGCACCAGATCCCCCAGGACTCGACTCTATATCCCATCTAAGCCCTCTCCCAGTCGATTTTCCCCAGTATCACAAAAATCAGGAGGCATGAAATTCCTTAAATTGAAAGCTACTGCAGAAAAGAAGGGAGATCCGTCCACGTGAGGACCAACTTTCGTCCTTTTTCCGCATCCTGCCACTGGCAGCGGCCGAGTCGAGTTCATCGTGCAGAGATGGGCGCAAATAGTCCCGAGTTCCGTCAGCTTGGGACCGTTTCCGACTGGACGGGTCTCGCAGTAGGCTCTGAGGGTCTTCCTTTTCCGCGGACAGCCGCCGAGAAGGAGGCCACCGTGGTTCGCCATTGTCTGATAAGGCCGGGAAGGAAAGCAAGGGCCTTAGAGCCGTGGTTCGGTGATCGGCCCATCTCTGCCATCGTGTGGTCTTGACTGTTCCAGTTTGTCCGATCGACCGCAGGTCCGATGGCGGGAGAGGAGAAGGTGTGACTACCAATCGGCAGCGACGGTGGACCCCAAGGAAGACAACTGCTCGGAAAGTCAACCCGTCGTGGCAGCCGCCGCTCGCCGAGGGAGTAGCAACCACGCCAGGGTCCTCATCAGACGGGCCGAGTCCAGAGAGGACTGCGACCAGTATCAGACCCAGTGTTGATGAAGAGCCTTCGCCGCCCCAGACCGGTACCGGAGCCGCGGGTCGCAAACTTCGGAGATCTACTCCGAAGTGGTAATTTCCAATTTGCGATCGCGGCTACCGGTCGTCCTGGTCGCACCATATGTACTAAGCGTCTTCGTCGCCGAGCTCGCTGGAAACCGATTCGAGGGAACGACCGCGGTGCCACCGTTCCTTTAACTCGCAGACACCGACTCGATCGTTCCCACGGACCATGTACACCTGTAACACTGTGCAGCATCCTCGAATCGGTTTCTACGGGGCCGAAATACCGAGATTCTCCTGGAAACGATCACCAGGGTTCTTGATTTGGATTCTTCCCTGGTGGCGAATCGAGGCGTCTCGCGGTCAGGTGTGGTCCAAGGTCCTCGCGCGCTGCATCGCTCCGAATTGGGATGGCAACTCTCTGGTTTCTTGAATTGACTCTCTTGTAGAGGTGCGAGGAGGTCCGGGATGTCTTGCTATCGCGATGTCGCTGGATTCTGTCGAATGCTAACACGTATAGTCTTCTGTTCTTGTACAAAACTTGGTGCGCAGCACGCGGAGGCGCCGCGACCTCTTGGCCCGACCTCGGAGGTTTTCTAGATTGAAAGTCAATCCGCGCAAACCATTAATCCTCCGTCAACGTCCCGGGAGCTAGTCTATTTTTCTTTTCTTTCTTCCTTTATTTTTTTTTCTTGCATATCACCGTGAGAGCGACGATGCACTCGTTCGATCGAGTTTCCGAAGAGAACGTACTTACTACCGCGATCGGCAAAGGAACGACGTTCTTGCGAACTAAGGAGTGTACATAGATGTTAATGCGTACAAAACTGACCGACCTTGCTCCGTATACGCGGGATGTGAAGAGCGTAAGAATGAAAAATGCGTAATGACGATGCAGCTATTGCCGATGATAAGGGGGAGTCGGGGGAGCCTTTTTTAGGGAAGAAAGGACTCCGCGGGGAAAACGAATCACTTAATACTCATCTCATATCACTCGACATACACACATACATGTAAATGTACGTAGCGTGTAGTTTTTATACAAAGCAGGATAACTTTGTAACTGAGAAGCTTCGAGTGAGTGTTTCACGTGTAAGCCGAGCGTAAGAGGCGAGAGACCGAGCGTCGCGCCGTTGATCGCGACTTCTGCAATTTTTTAATCCCACTTCCGGCTTTCGCCAGGCTACGGGAAAATTCCATGGGTTAGTGCAAAGTGTTCTATGTTGAGTATGATTTTTTCCTCCGGGTTATGTTCGTTCGATTCGTAAGGAAACAAATGTTATTCCGCGCGATGTCTGCCATGGTTATCGGGCACTAAAACGTTGAGAGATTTCTGCGACTCTGGGTATATTGAAAGTCGTATATGGGTCGTTTAATGGAGGTTTATGCGATATACATGAATGTATATGATATTGTATATATATACCGGGTATAACATTTGCATGCGAGGGGTATCCTCGTTGCGCAAGGATTTTTTAAAATTCCGGTCAGCCACACTGGTGCTGAGACACAAAAACGACGCAATACGTCCTCATAATTATAGTGCACATTAAAGATGCATACAGCAAGCACGCATAATTTATTTCGTAACACAAAGCACTTAATGAAACAAATACCTGCCCTATGTGCGTAGATATATATACAAAGCCATAGGTGCATTAATGCTTCTTGAAAAGTATTTTCTGCGTGCTTGCTTTATGCATCTTCGATGTGCGGCCTTACTTGTTCGAAATGTTATTTTAAATATGAATATATAGTTTTTGTTTAAAACTCTAATGGGTTGGTTAATCGTAACCGAATGCGACGTAAGGAAACAGGAAAATTCCTAGATCAACGAATAGCTATCGCAATCGGTGTAAAGAGAAAGATATGTATGTACAAGTTGCATTTGAAGGCGATAAACGGGAAAATGGTGTTTTAAGCGGAAAATAACGTGTACGTAAATTTTAATCGACGACACACTGCACAAAGAAAGTGTAAATAGTTCCTTTGTATGATGCGAAGTCGTGTAAAAAAGCGGAGAGAAAAACTGGCCCCGCGAGGGGACGCGTGTAAAAGTAGTTGAAATAATAGACGTTGCGTTGTTCCTCGATCGGTTTAATCTAACGCGGGAATTCCCCCCTCGTTCCCTGAAAATGAAGATACACGGAGTAGAAATAGAAAAAATTGTCTGTTATTATACAAAACCGTACAACGAATACATATACACGCCTCGCTTGACTGCAACGAACGCGCGCTAGCTTATCCTTTTACGCTTAAAGTCCGTCAAACATTTGGGCGGAACGAAACTTTCTGACTTTTCAAGATGCAGTCTTCCGATCCTGTAGTTAAAGAGTTCTATAATTAATCGAAATGTAAATTAGCTTCCATCTCCGCGAGAGATATGCGAGGTTTGCACTTGCTCTATGCAGGAAAGTCTTTTCCCTCGATACAAACTTTTGATTTGCTCTATTTCTAAGGTAAATATAAACGTGGTGAAGATGCACCATGACTTCGTTCACAATGTTGGACCAAAAAGATGTCCAGAGTGACTCCGCACCACCAAAGAACACTTTGAATCACTGCGGCCAGAAAATATTGGCCAGTCTGGGTAAAGTTAGGGAGGTAAAGATGCTTGACAACAGATTGACGCTGTGGTTGTCAAGAATTTGTCTCCCACTAATGTGCCTCACACCTTTCCCAGGACGTTCAACTACCATTCCCTGTTCATCGACTCCTGAAATACCAAGATACAGTTCTAGATATTCCAAGACCATGCCTCGATGGCTTCGGTTTGCCTCTTTAATGAAACCACTGCTTACCGGAATACTGTAAAGTGGCACCTAGAAACGAATCGCAGAGGCTACCTAGCAGGCCTCCGACTCCTCCAGCAAATATAATGGGCCATTGTGGCGCTGCGGACTGCAGCACTGCTGGATCGACGGTATATAAAATAATAATGTAATAAGTCAATCCTAAGACCAATCCACCCAACAGAGAAACCAGTATGCCAAACCATGAAACTGCCCCATTGGTTCCTTAGATCAATTCATAGAATATTAATTGACCGTTAAACATCGACCAACCTACGAATTATCTATCAGTTTATCACGTAATGTCTTCAATGGATGCAGTTACCTCTTGGCACTCTTTTTCTACTCGTGATGAGAAAAGGATCCGAAGAGCCAACCACTGTCCCTAATTCCGAAGCCCAAGTATCGCCGTTACAACAGGCGGTAGCTCCTGAAATAAGATCCGAACTTCTACCAGTGTTCATTACCTGTTTTCACTTTTGTATAATTTACCTAAAATCCCTATAGACAACCAAGAATTTCTATAGTCCTTGTCGAAATCAATGGGTCTTTCTCCATAGCCTATGTCCAATAAATATAACAATGCAAGTTGCGTAGCCATACCACCATTACACAATACTTGAATCCAATTCCTGCGTGAATTTATTTTAAAATCTTCAGTGACTTTCTTCTTTCTATGCGCTCGGAACTTTGTTGCCTTCGAGGAGGTCACGAAGAATGCTATTAAACATCCCAGATGAGCGAAACTCGACAACGTCAGAACGAAACCCATAAAAGATCCTGTAAACCATATAATTGGTCATGGATTTCTACTACATCTCTTTTACTAAGTTCTATCAATTGTTTTATTAAGGGAACGATCATGTAAAATCTCTGAAGCTCAATTACCAAGGAGTGCACCGGATAAATCGAGGGTCTTCTTCTTTAGTGCCCATCCAGCCATAAATATAGGAATAATCACTGCAGCTAGCCACCTCCATGGCGATATCACAGGATACCCTTAAATAGCATAAATTCAATCAATTTAAAATACACTAAATAGAAACCAATCTATTATAATTAACCGAAGAAATTATCAGACATTTGCAGAGTCAGAATCAATCTGTCACCTTAACGCAGCTATGGCAAGACCTAACGTAGTTAACGGAGTAACTTAATCTAAAGATATGGTACAGTAAAGGCTGTGTAGAGAGAAATAATAGAGTAAATTAACAGTGACAACAATACCATCAGCCTGGTACTCGGAATCTGGGGCCAGTAAAGAATAAGTAACGTTCACTATCCAAAAGAGCATGGATACCGGTATAGCGAACGCGCTGACCAAGACAGGCACCAGAACGCTGTTTCTCCTGTCATCTTCGCTCGCGGTTAGCAGCATGTCACAAAATCATTAAATTTGCCGACCATCCAATGATTCACGCTCCCATCTCACCTCTTTCGCTGCTATCATCAAATACGTCGAACTCTTGCGGGTTTCTGCGACCGCTCGAATTTATACGCGTTTTCCGGCACGGGATACATAAACTGTAGAAATTCCACCGCGAGGTGTCTCGGCACCGATAATAACGGCGCTAGTCAATGTCACCGTACTTAGGATTTAGCGTCTAAATACTAAACCGATATTAAGATGGAGCTATTGAGCAGTTAAATCTGTACTTACAATAGATATTTCTTTTTACAGGTTCAGACGTTACCTTGCATCGGTTAAAGGTATCAAAGAGACGCCATCTTGAGTAAAGTCTCCGCACGTACCATTCGTCGATACGACTCTAAGCGCCGCCATTTTGTTCTCGTTGCCGTTTGCCGCTCGGGGCTGTGCATCGTTTGAAATTGATAAACGGCTCGATGGATAAAGGTCCATCCGCGCATATACCGACAATTTCAAGGCGTCTCCTCTCGTTCCGCAAGTGACGCTATCGAAGTTTATGGTATCGAATCAAGATCTCAAATTACAAAACACCATTGCGCGCGAAAAGTATCAACACGAGGTCGCCGGGAACTTAACCTCTCCCGGGCGGAAAGTAGTAAAGTTCACGTTCTTATCTACGACTAAGGTTAGTCAGTGTTCAGTTCTCTTCGACTCGAGCCGTGATAAATATAAAAATCAATCCCTATAATCTAATTCAGAACAAACCAAGGATGCAACACTGAAGAAATCACCACATTAATACTCCCTTCCCATGCATAGTCATGGCATCGATCAGCACCTGGTGAGACGCATTTACGCATTCCTGGTGGAGGATTTCTCGGTCACCGTCGCCCACGCTTCCTCGAGGAATCTAGCTCCACGCAGAACCTTAATTAGGAGTCACAGGTGCTCTGAAAGTAAGTCACACAGGTACGATAGGGGTACGAAACCTCCTAGCCCATCGAACACCTCTCCGATCCCATGACAATCTCCTCGACAGAACGATTCATTATCTTTTGTCGAGGCGGAAAGAGTCGCGAGAGCCGTGACTCGAGCTCGCAGCTTCTCACGCGTAAGTGGGACACGCATCGGCACCGGGCGTCGAGATATTCTCGGGTGCCGATTTGTCGGTCACCGCGCCGCCCACGCGGCGTGTCCTGCGCTCGCGTCACGTTTTCGCGGAGAGGGGCCGCATCCGCGATGCGCGCATGCACGCCGCCCACATGCGAGGGCGCTCCTCGAGTGACCGTGACCCGCGCTCGCGCGCTCGACGCGCCACTCCGGCCGCGGGACCTCGAGGTGCAGGAGTCGGTAAGGACGGGAACTACCGACTTCGAGCGAGAGGATCGATGACACTCGGCGAAACGATGCACCGACCGCTGGCCCCGGAGCGATCGCGGCCAACGATGTGGAGCGATGCCGGCGGCCGCTTCGAGGCGAGCCGCACGTTACGTCACTGCTGACCTTGGCTCCGAGAGAGCTCCGGAGATGTTCGATTTCTCGCTGGGTCGACAGTCTCGCAATTAGAGGGGGTAAGGGGGGAGAGAGAGGAGATACTCTTGGAAACGAGTGGAAAGAGTGGGCGGAGCACCCGGGGCGAGCTCGGCCGCATCGATCGCGCTTTCGGAGCTGGGCTTGTTTATTTATCCCGGCTTCGGTATGATTTTTAACGTCGCTCATGATTTCAGGTTGCCATCAGCCGAGGTGGGGACTCGTTAGGAAGGTGGAGCCGCCGAGTCCTGGCTAGCCACGGAATGACCGACTTTCCGACGACGGTTGCGGTATTGCCGCTGGTTGCGTTTAACTCCCAGACGGGGCCGACGACACAGCTGCGGGGTTTCGGCGGACCGATTTGTTATCCCAGCCCAACTGTTCACACGGTGCCGATTGTGCCGCCGTTTGGTGCTGCATGCTTTCCCTGCGCTTGCTGGTGGACCCGATCGGCAACAGGTCTGAGATAATCGGTTGGCTTTGATATGCGGTTTTTTCATCCGAAAAGAATCTGGCCGAGAGCCACCGTTACCTGAGGAGGCTGTCGTCGCGGGCCCTGCCTCGCCTTTGGCTCGCGCGCACTCGCCAGGGTTTATATAACTCGGGCATTAGTGGTGGTGACGTCATGCCTCGGCAGTGCAACGGTTGCCCGGTCGATAGTGCAGTCAACTACTGCATTATATGCGTCGATTGTGAGCGCGCCGCAGGCCTTGAACCGCGGCCACTCGGCATTGCAATTTTCCGCCCGCCGCGCGAGCCGAGCGATTATTTTTCGCCATGTCGCAACGTAACTCGCGGGCTCTAAGGCTAAAGACCCCACCTACCGAGTGGAGCTCGCCAGAATTTCCACCGGGATTTCTGGCGATTTCCGCCGCACCACTTGGAATATGTTCGAGTGTGTATATTTATTCCTTGTTTTCGAAACTTTCGTCGCTTCTTTTATTCATCCCGTATGATGTGTATAGCGCGGTCGGGTGATCGATTCGCAGCTTTTTGCGCGATGAGCGAGCCGACCACCGCGAGGATTCCTGGAGTTTGAGGAAGTTTTTTGGACAGTGATTTGGAAGAGAGAAGAGGGAAGAGAGAAGCAGGCGAAGGAAGACATTTGAACGACGCGAGAGCCTGTCAGCGGAGAGCACCCTCGTGTACCGGCACCGGTTGGGTTCGATGAAGAGGTTATGTCAGCAGAAAGGGATGAATGGTATCGCACGCTTCTCACCTCCACCTCGGTCTCGGAGGATGCTTCACGAAGATCGCTGCACCGAGGAGAAGTGTCATTAACGAGAGTTCGAGACTTCCTGGAGGTCCGTAATTCGGGAGACTTCAAGAACCATCATCCGGGATTTTTATTTAGTGATAATAAGCTCGTGCCTCTTATCCGCGGGATATGTAATGCGTGCATTAAGCATTTTGGAGTCGCCTAGACTCCCCGGCATGTTTCAATGCTGATCCTGACGCAGGTCCCCGATATACTTTTTTCCCCTCTTCGAGGGAGGGAGAGCGATGGAGAGGACCCGTGTGTCACTCTTTTGTCTGCTCGTTAACGATGAACCCGCCACAGCTCGTTGACCAATGCCTTTCGGAGCCTGAGACTCGCGTACCTCGACACCGACGTGTACACCTGTGTCCTACCTTTGAAACGTCCTCTGCCCGTCGACCAGACGCCGTTAAGAGGGCTCGAAATATGTATCTCCTCGGCGCATGTCAACCCTGACATTTAGGGTGCCGTCCTCGAGAACTTCCGAGACCATCCAGCGACTACCAACACTAGGGATATTTTTTTTTTTCATCGCTCTATACGAAGATTTTTGCTCAGAGGTGGATATACTATTTTATACCACGAGGGAGAACGAATCCCAAGATAAAGTAAAAGAAGAAGAAAAAAGTGCGATTCTACCTTTTCGGATTTTCGATATTCTTGTATACATTTCGTTGGTTACGCATCCAACGGAGACCTTTTCGCCGGGAAGTGCATTCGGCCCGGTGGAGGGTTCTCGATGTCATTCGAAGAGAAAGTCGCTAATTACTCAGCGAGAGACCGAAAAGGAAAGCGTCTTATGGGAGCTGGTTTTATGTGGGTCACTGCCTTCTGCGTTGACGTTTCTTGGAAGGATTGCAAAGGCCGTGGATCGCTTCGGAACTGCGGACACGAACAGGCCGGGAGTCTGAAGAACCATCGTCCTAAGAACTCGAAGACCCGAAGAAGAACAGGATTTTGGAGATTCACCTCTAGAGAAGCGTCCTGTCTGCCGTTTCCTCGGCGAAGAGACTAATCGCATAGGAATCAGCGTAAGAGGAAAATCTTTCGAGGTCTAACGCCAAACCAAGATGGGGCCGGAGCGGCGAAAGCGCTCGCGATAGTTAGGCGAACGGTCGATCGTCATGAATGAGCATGCATGAATGCATTACCCGACGTCGATGCGTAAGGAGTAAGGGGTCATCGCATATGTAATCCGTCGTGTCTCTGGCCGACGGTAACCTCTGGCAACCTTCGGCTCGAACGAGTGCAAGTAGCGGAAATGCAACTGCCCAGCACGAAAAGACCAGGTCGAGATCTAGGCTGTTGGCCCCTTGGCCAAGGCTCGCAAGACTGGTTACAAAGACCTGCAGGCTCTTCATCGACCTAGTCACCCTCGAAAACGCATCCTCCTCTGACATTTAAGTCCCCGGTGGGGACGAAAGGGCTGGTCGTGCTCGCGGTCGAAGGGGTTATTTTTCTTGCTGAGCCTCTTTTAGATACTTTTTTTTTTCCGCTTTGAAAGGCGGCCAAAGAAGGCACGCTGACCTTTCGGCGATGACGTTGGGCCGGCGCGCGTTTGACGTCAGTGCTCTCGAGGAGCCCGTAAAAAGGGCCAGGAGTGAGGCCAGTCCTTTCCTCGGAAGGCTGCGTGCTCGATTATGCGATTATGATCCTCCCTCTGTGGTCCATGCACCCCTGATTAGCGCGCGGGTCGGCAGGACTCTCAAGCGAGGCTTCCAGGAAAGGTCTTAGCCTATCGACCCTGGCGCCGTAATAATAGGCCACCGTACAGAGAGACGTCTCTCGGTCGGGTCGGCCCCTGCATGCAGACCCATCAGGACTCGGCTCCAACCGCAGGGATCGCTGTCGCCCTCGGGATTAGCGGCTCTTTTATCGTTTAACCCGAATTATCGCGCTTCTTTCCTGGAAGAAGACGATACGCCGGGCTTATCTCCTCGATAAGGAGTGCTCGGTGCCCGAGCATCCCTGGATCACGAATTCGCGATCCGAGTGGCCATGAGAACCGCAGGGAGAGGTGGAGGAGAGGTTTACGATCACGCGGTGCACGCTGCGACCCAACGGAACGCACCGGTTGGCAGGAACCTTCGGCCTATCCGACAGAGGGGCAGTCAACTGCTATCGACCTGCTGGAGCTTTACATGAAGCTTTCTCCAGGCGCGCAGAAAACCAGCCCAGGATCGATAGAGTTGCGTGGAATGCACGCGTATGCAGGCCTGCAGAATCCGCCGAGGTACCATTGGACCTCGGGATGGAAGACGTGTACTCAGCCATTCGACTGAAGATCCGTGCACGAGAGGTGGTCTAGAATCGATGTAATAGATGCTTCTACCATGGAATTGGAA